CTAGCCAGTAACAAATTGAACATTTTTATCAGAAAGGAAAATAATTTACAGTGAGCAAATGCCTATCACGATGTTTATTAGAAAAATCAACTTAAAAGAAGTACCTGTCTGAATAGATTGTGACATATCCATGCAATGGAATACTACTTAGTTAAAAAACAAAACTAATTCACACAACAATATGGATAAATCCCAGAAACATTATGCTGAGGTAATGATGCCAAACACATAAGAGCACATATCATTTGATTCATATTTGTGTATTTGGATTTCTTAAGAGGCAAATCTAATTAGTAGTGATAGAAAGGAGAGTAGTTGGCCTTGGCTGGTGTGACTTGTTTGGTTGGGCATCGTCCTGTGCACTAAAAGTTTGCTGGTTCGATTCCTGGTCAGGGCACATGCCCTGGTTTCAGGTTCAATCCTCAGTAGGGGGCGTTCAGGAGACAGCCAATTGATGTTTCCCTCTCACATCAATTTCTCTCTCTCTTTCTCTCCTTCTTCCTTCCTCTCTCTCTAAAAATCAATAAAAACATTTTAAAAAAGAAAGGAGAGTAGTTGTTACCTGGGGCAGAGGGGGATGGACTTACTTTTTAGGGTGATCAAAATGTTCTTTATCTTGATCATGGTAGTAATTACACGGGTACATACATTTCTCAAAATTCAGTGAACTATGCACTTAAAATGGATACATTTTAATGTATGTGACAAGAAGGAAAAGTAATTCTATCTCTATGCTTATAGGTTCTTGGCTGAGAACCCCTGTGGAAAAAGTCAGATTAACAGGACAAAAACAAACAAACGTTTCATAGCGTACCTCCTGTAGATGTGGGAGATACCCAAGGAAACTGATGACTCCCTGAAATGGCCCAATCCACCACCTTAAATACCACCTGCAGCTAAAGACAAAAGGAGATTTGGATGGGTGTGGGGGGTGGGGGTGTGCAGTATGAGAGGTTACAGGAAAAGCACAGTAAACACAGCTATGGTTGTTATAGAGATATAAGTCTTTAAATTGTTGTGTTCTCCACTGATAATTGTTTCTAGAGTTTTAATCACCCTGTGTTCCTGGTACAGAGCGGGAGACACCCTTTCAAATGGAGGTTTCCCTTATAAACGTAAATATTCTTACAAAAGAGTCACCTGCTCAGTGTTCAGAGCTTCTCCCATGTTTGCTATTTTAAAAAATAACCAGCTCAAGTTTATCCTTATGCCAAACAGGCATATTCTGGGGTGGCAAATTCTGTTCCCCTTCATATGTAAACTATATCTCAATAAAATTGATTTTTAAAAATGTCTGTTTAAAAATACTAGAAGGGCCAAATAGAAAGGAGAGAGCAAATGTGGGGCATGATCTGGACACTGAGTTGGAGATGATGATGAACTCTGAACAAGAGAGAAGCTCCAGGCCTCGGAGATATGCTTGGACTCCAGTTTTTCTATCTAGAAGCCCCTTGGAAAGGGGTGGCTGGTGCCACCAGGACACTAAATGCACTCTCTTGAGGGTGAGAGGGCCCAAGAGAAACTGTGGGGCATTTTTACTATTATGAGGCCCTGGCCCAGCAAAGGAAGGGGAAAGGGTTGGAAAGGGTGGAGGAGAAACAGATTAACACTGTGTCCTGGCCACCAGGGAGAGTGGGCGGACTTGCCCCAGGACACAGAAACATCAGGTAGGCTCACAGAGTATTTCAAACTAAAATGCTAACTGAACAAGAACGTCCCAGATATAAATGTATTTATTTAATACTGACTTAACAGTCCAGTTTGAAATGTGGCAGAGGTGCCCTCTGGTGGTAGAATCCAAAACCAAATGTTTTACTTCTTTTCATTGACTAATAATAAAAGACATGTATGCCTCTATTCCTAGTAAAGCTGACTCTTCCACTTGGGCATTTGATCCCCACCATTCTGTCATAATCCAGAACATCACCCAGTAATTATCTCTTCTACAACATTTATTTATTCTTTCTACTGAATATTTCATATCAGCATACAAAAATGTTATGCCCCCCCCCTTTTTTTAAACACTTTCTGGAGCCCCTTGATCTTTTAGCCACTACCCTAATTCATTCTCTCTCTCTCTCTCTCTCTCTCTCTTCTCTCTCTCTCAGTGGGCCCCGTGTCTCCGGTGGGCGGGCGAGGGCTCGGTTGAGGCGATTGGCACCGCTTGCCTTCGCCCTAGCCCCCGCGCATTGGGACGTGTCTCCGGTGGGCAAGCGAGGGCTGGGCGAGGCTATCAGCACCGCTTGCCTTCGCCCCAGCCCCCGCCTGCCCCCGCCTGG